AGGCGAAAGGAGCCAAAATAAAAATGGCTGCGGGAAGTGAGCTCGCTTGGGAACTGCTGCAGTAGCAAATAGTTCTCTTTGTCCAGGTCCTGGGCGCGCATCATGAGAAACGTCCGAGCCGGATCAGAGGTAACTCCTGGTAGCTGGAGGGAATGAAGACCCAATGCTGAAGTCCACGGTGTAACGCCATACCACGGACTTGTTGTGGACAAAACGGATGGAAGATGGACAGGCGCGGTCGAGAAGAATGTGACCGTGGAAGATCGGGTGTGCGTTCCACGTAGAAGGCATATTGAAGTCCACGATCACGAAGAAGGGCTCGTACGGCGTAATATGTTCGCGAGCAGGTCACCATCAAAGAAGCAACGAGACGGGGATGAAATGTGATCTCGGCGAGGGCATAGTGAAGGTGATAGTCGCGTTCCGTCCGGAACGCAAGGGCCTGGCCATGTAGTTCAGCAATAGGAAAGAGGCACCTTAACGTGGAGTCCGGAGCAGGTGTACGGGCAGAGGCAGTGTCCATCATCGAGTCCGGAGGGACGAGAGCTGTACGTAGACGAAGTTCCAAGAGTGGTAAGAACACCCGGAAGAGAATGGAAGGATCAGTTAATACGTCCAAGTACTCCAGAACAGTTGCCGAAGTGGATGACGACAATGTCGAGCAGGAAGAGGAGGCAGAGGATGAAAAGGGAGCAGAGCGTCGGAAAGACATGTGTGGTACCAGGGAAGCGCAAGACTGTGGAGTGATGTAGAAAATGGCTGCGGAACATCCAAAGAAACAAGGAGGAGCAGAGTCGGCGAGGGCGCATGTTTTGTTCAGGCCCGAGCGACGGAGTAGAGAGTCAGGGGTGGTCGCTGCTGGTCTCCGCTCAGATCCCGTCGGTGTCGATCGCGGTCTCGATCGCGATGGGGAGCATCACGCGCACCTCGAGAGCGGTCTGGATCCTCACGATCATCACGGTCTCGGTCAGCACGATCGCGGCGGCGACGCCGACTCCGGGATCGGCCAATTGTCGCCGTTGTGGTCCGTGGAGGAGGAACTTGCGGTCGGGCTTTGACCGGTACATAAGTCACAGTACCATCAGCATCGACCTTAGGTGCAAGAGGTCGTCCAGTGTGCTTGGAGACAGCCGGAGGTGGAGCTGTGTGGCCGATCGGGTTGGCATCAGAATATCCCGGGGTTGATGGCATCGGAGGAGAAGAAGGGCCAGCAGGTAGCGGGTCAGGAGGAGGTGGGGATACTGAGCGACGTCGTCGGCGATGACGATCACGATCGCGGTCTTCAGCGCGAGAACGTTCTTCATCTCGCGGGCGGTCGCGGTCTCGTCTGCGAAGTCGTGGTAGGGTCTGGCGCTGGGAGGGATCCAAATGAGAAGGAATCGGTGGTGGTCCCATGGGGGCCGGAGGGGCCACACTGCCGTCTGGAAGTGCTGAAGGTCCAGGAGAGTCGTAGGCGGCTTGACCAAAATAAGGGCCTGGGTCACTGGAGGTGAGCAGCGCTGTGGCAGGTGGGGGAGCATCCGGAGGTGGTGGAGTAGTTGTCGTAGCCACCGGTGTCACAGGGGTCACCGTCGATCGATTCTGATGGGCTCGTAGTAATACATCACGTACTTGGAGCAGTTGGTGGTCGGACAACGACTCGAAAAACACCAAGAACAACTGCAAATATTCAGGAGTGAAGGCGGAGGAGGCCATGATGTGCTAGCGAGGTCACACTTAGTTCAGCAAAACGGCTGCGGGATGAAGAAGAATAAGGCGGCAACAACAAAGAGACCAGCCATGCCATATCGCAAATCACGCACACCTTTTGTGGGTCCTCTCACATGAACACGGCAATGCCTTCTGGTTGTGCAAGCGTGGAGTGCACACCCCAACGGTTGTCGTTGCCGTGCAGGATGGAGACGAAGTAGTTCGCCGCGTTTTCGGGGACGGTGCCCCCACTGTCGCTCTTCAGGTGATAGGCCGCGGGAGTGTTGGGGAGCACTGAAGACGGTGTGTCGGTAGGCGCGGCATTGGCTATGTCGAGATAGCAAATGGGGATTCGGCCATATACACAAATCGGACGGGGAGAACCCCATCCTCCAAACTTGGCTGCAGCCCGTAAGGCTCCGCTGAGACTGTGGACGGAAGCGCGAGAGTAAAAAGCAGGACTCGGCAGCCAAGAAGCGTCAAGGGGGTCATAGTTGCTGGGGCGAATGCATCCTTCTTTCAGGATGCCAAAGGCGGCCTGAAGGTCCGTGTTATGGCCGAAATAGGCGACTGCAGGTGCCCCGCTAACACGTACCGCTGCTGCGGGGAAGGGGAGCGAAACCATGAGCATTGGTCGGCCAGCTTTGTCTGGTTGATGTTGGGGAGCCTCGACATGTGTGAACTTGAACTGAACACTGTGAGGATGGTATCCAGCATGTACCAGCAGATGCATCACTGTAAGTATCGGATCGGCTAGAGTAAAAGGCACATCAAGTTTGCGTCCCTCCAAGAGCAACTCCTGTTGACATTGTCGACGATGAGGGAGCGCTTTGAAGTAGGACCTGTATTGCAGCAATGCAGTATATACTCGATCCCAGTGTACCGCCTTGAGGGAGCCCAGTCGGGTGGAGTAATCGGATTGCAGGTAGGTATCAAGCTGGCCTGCCGTGGCCAAACACTGGCGTAAGGTTGCCAACGTGCAAGCAGAGCTGAAGGGAGCTGCTGCGGTCCATAGGCAGCAGGCACTGACTGGTCGTTGTTGGAGGAAGACGGTGTTGAGCCAGCGGGAGGTAAACCAGGCCAAAACGGGCTCGGAGGAAGAGGAGAAAGATCAGGGAGAGTGCTTGGAGCTGCCATATCAATAGGTCGTGGAGGCTGTAAAGGGGCAGCGATTCGGTCAGTCAAAGTGGAACGTTGAGGTGCAGCAGTCCGGGTCGTAGGTGCCGCCGGCGTTGACGACGAAGAGGAAGAGGAAGACGATGAAGACGCAGACCTCGGGCGTCGCCGAGATCGTGATCGTGAGGGTGCGGTCGGCCAGAGTCCAGGTGCACAGGATGGACGGGGACGAGGAGGCATGGCGAATGCAAACAAGCAATGCACAGCCTACAACAACAACTACTACAGGGAAAAGCCACTAGAACGTTACGGTCAAAACGCTTCCTGCCTGGGTCCTTGGGTATGAGTGCTTGAAGCGGCTTTAGCTGCAATCGCGTGTTGGTAGGCATGGAGCCGAATTTGTGGGTGCCATGAGAGGCGGTTAGGCCATGTGGCTTCACTGCTCTCTTCATTGAACTGATCTAAGCGCTGACACTGAATTTGGCGCCTCCGAACTTGGAGGATCTGAGTGCAGCACCGAGGCATACACCACCGTCCCGGAGGACTACACACTGAATGTTAAGAGAGGTTTCTGTATGCGGAGGACCACCTGATGCCCAGGTCTTGGGCGACCATGCACCAGCAACTTTGAACACGTATCTTCATGCGCAGTAAGGTCGAAGCTGAACGGCTCAAAGGGTGCCACCTAGACCTGCAACCTGTCTAAACCCCAACATGGCCTGAACCTCAAGTGGACACAGTAGCGCTCGAAAGTGACAGGCAGATCAAGTGTGTATTCACTGCAGAATGGCCTCACTCGCACTGACAAGGTTCTGCCCGGGGTTCTCGGCTTGGCCCCATGCCATGTCCAGTGTAGCGCAACGGAAAGAATATGTAATATCCAGGAGAACCAATGTACAGCAAGGATGTTGTACGATGTCACAAGCTGCAGGTACATGTTCTGGCGTCCCAGAACACATCACCATGGAAAGCTGGCGTCTTTGTTAGCGGGAGTCCAGCAGTCCATGCTCCCGCCCCCTGCTGTGTAATCTGCATTCAAGTTCAGTGATATGTACATCGTAAATAGGAAATGGCTGCAGAGCGTGAGGAGAAGGCCCTTGGATACAGGGTTGTCACACACACACACACACACACACTGCTGAGATTGATAGAGGCCTAGGGTCTTGCGCACTGGAGGTGCGCATCATACGAACACCACGGGTTGCCTAGAGTGTGCCTTCTCCTCGTCGATCATCCAAAGATTGCAAAAGCGGACTTGCACCAGTTCGGGGTTTGGGGCGGGTCTACTTCTTGGCTCGGTGAAAAAACGTGAAGTTGAAGTCGTCCCACCGCACCAGTGCCTGTTGCAGTACAAATCGGGACATGGAACAACTTGGCCGAGATCACCTGGCAATCTATCATCCAAGCCATTAAAAAACCGTGAACAGCAGAAAAACAAAAAAGCAAAAACGCTTCTCACAAAGGCAGCCTCTCATCTTGAGGAACCGTCTGGAGCTGTCTCCTCATCTCTTCATCTTGTCAACTTCGTGCAGGTGGGTGTCTTTTCATCTGCCGAAATGTTGCTCACTGTCTGAGAATCGGTAGCGCCACGCAGTTTCCTACATGAGTCCTGTTTTTGTTTCAAAACTCCCTAGATCTGGAAAATGTCCGAAGAACTGAATAAACACAGTCGCTGCAAGTTTACATCTACATTTCTGAGTACGCCCAGGAAGGATGTCACTGTTCTCGAACTTGCCCGCTTTATGTTCAATCTACATGCCAACCCATGCATCTACCTAGGTATCTGCCGTCAGTATAACATATCTACCGACCCAGCACCGGAGCATATTCGTTGTCTGATGAAACAAGCAACTCACTCATCAAATAACCCTACCTGCTGCCAATCTACATTGTTCACGTCCATCTTGCTTACTTGGAGGGTCGCGGGACTTAGTAAGTAAGATTATAAGTACCATAACTGTGGTTGTAAGTAACTAAACGTAGAGTTACCTTGCCTATAACCCAAGTTACTAAGTCCCATGACCCTTTAAGTATGCACCTGCAGCGCCCTGGAGATCCACATTATGGAGCTGAAGATGGCAAAAAAGGTAAACTCGCCAAACTCTCTAAGCCCTGAACCTAAGGGTCTAGGGTTTAGGGTGGACCTAAGGGCTGCAAACCCTGCAACCGGAGGCCACAAAGTCAAACCACCAGGCTCAACTATTTGTGCTGCCGGCCTTCGTGAACTGATCCGGCTGGCCAGTTTCGTCGTCCGGCCTCGACTAACTCACATGAAAGCGTCCTATGATCATATGAAGTAGGGCCCCCTGAACAAGGCTTCGTTTAAAAGCTGGTGAAGGCATGCTTCGTTCTAAAATACGGTGAGACTAATATTACGAACCTACCTAATTAAGACTTGTAGACTTTCGGGTGTGGGACTGCACGGGGAGGCTCTTGCAGCTTCCGATGGAGGCTCAGGGTTCCGGTGGGTATGGTTATGGTCCACGTCTACGCCCTCAGAAACCCTGAGACCCTGAAAGTTGCAACCTTAATCTTCAAGGCCCAACTCTTGCAATCCTAAACCCGGAAAACAGCCCCCGACCCTACGTGGGGGGGGGTCTCGGGTGCCTTAGAGTTATATGAGGATTTTCACGGATTGATAGGGCAATACGGGTTTGCAGGCGTTTGGTTTACGGGTTTAAGGTTTAAGCGTTTTGGGGCTTGGTTTCAAGCTTAGGGTTCAAAGGTTTAGGCTCAAGACCCAAGGTTTGAGGCTTAAGGCTTTAAGGTCGAATTTAAGATGTCCGGTTCGGCCGCAATCCTCGCATGAAGAACGCTTGTCTTCCGATAGCCCGACAAGAGCAATCACAACTTAAGCCCAAAGCAGCTGCCGCCCCTGGCCCAAAATCCCAAACCCAAAATCCCAGACTCTGAACCCCAAATTCTTCGATTTCTGGCCTTGTGGGACCCATCAAAATCAAGACCATGGCCCTTGAACCTCCAAGAGCGAAGCCCGAAACCGGAAACCCTAAAAGCCAGGGCTTCGAGCGCAGGTCTGACTTCGACACAAATGGGTGGTTGTCAAAATTAGGGTCCCTTCTTGGGTACCCGAAATATTAGGTGCCGTTTATATTAGTTTTGACAACCACCCAATTGGTTAAGGACCTGCACAAGGGTTTAGATCTAGGATCAACTCATGCCGAGAGGCGTCGGCTTGCCCAGCTTAAGCGGCTGTACATCTGAATCTCCGTCCTCCGTCACACTAGCATTGACTGAAAGCTGGACAGTTTATGGTTTTGGGTTAAGGGTTGAGGACTCAGGACCTTCGGGGCTCAGCGCTCAGGATACAAGAGGTTGGGGTGCAGGGATTCACAGTGCTTGAACAACCACACGTGCCACAGGCTCCTGATTCTTGTTACGGTTATCTTCATCAGAAGACGAAGAAGTCTTACATACTGTCATGCTTTTTTTGCTGATATGGTGCGAGTGTAATCATTATGGTTGTCTTCACTGCTATGCTTCTTATTACTGGCTGCATTCATACTGTTGCTAATACTCTCATTATAGCTCTTGTTCTTACCATTATTGTTAACGTTATTCGTATGATTTTTACTATACATCTTATTATTGTCAGCATGTCTACTATTATTACGAATGCTGTTAATAACATATTAGTATTGCTAGCGTTGTTGATAATCATAGTATGATGTTTATTGGTATGTTTATCGTTATTAATACTGTTAATAGGAATCTTCTTACTATTGCCATTATGATTGGGCTTAATAGTAGCAGTAGCAGTAATGTTGAGATTCTCACAGTTCGCATTATTCGGACTATTCACATCATTCTTAGTATGCGCAATATTCTTGTGTTCTTAATTTCCTCCTATCAACAAGAGAAACAAGCTCTTTGTTCCATGTACTGTTCCTGTCGCTATATTCTTATTATTGGGGTCAGTGCTACTACTACTTGTATTCTCAGTAGTAGCGGTAGTATTATTATGATTCTTAGTAGTGTCTGTATTGCTGTCTTGTTGCTTTTTCGTATTATGAGCAATATTTCTAATACTTTTCATACTATGAATATCAATATTCCTATTGTTCTACTCTACTACCATTGCGATTGTAGTTATCATTATGGCCACCATGAACCTTAATGTCTACCACCATTGTAGATATTTCTGCTGTTATTATGATTGCTTTGGTTGTGATTAAGTTTTCTATGTTTGTTGTTACATCCGCAATGCGAGAAGTATCAATACAATCAGTACCGTGAATAATGTCTTCATTAGGATGATTGAGGAACTCATGCCATGGAACCTTTTTGTACTTTTCAATATCATGAGCATATTGTGAGTATGTCTCTGCAAAATTACGACTACTAGTAAAAACAATTAAGCCATCAACAAGCCATGTAGCAAAATTGCCAGAAAGTCTTGCCGAAACGAAACTGCAGCCCAGAGCTGCTACCTCCCTCTTGCTTCAACGGAACTTGTCAAGACACTCTCGAACATGGGAGCTGGGAGCTGCAAGTCTACTGCGATGCACCCTGAAAAGCCTCATCAAAAACGCGGAATCATGAGCACGCCCTACACCCCAAGTCTACTAATAATTAGAGTAGGGTTTGGGGCCCATTGTGCTGTAAATATAATAAGGAACTCCCTTAGTCTACTTCCTTTGTCGTCACAGCCTGAACCATTTGATTCAACCCTGCGTCCCCTGCACAAGTGCTGCAAACCGCCATGGCCGAGCTTGTCCCCATGGCTCACAATTTACGGGTTAGGGGCGTCAAAGCAACTCGGATATGAACACGGTGATCAGCGGATGCACAAACTCCGAAACTCTGCAGAAACACACAAGCATCATCGGAAAATCTGCTGAGCTGTCAATGTCTTGTGCACCGACTTGGGGGATCATGGCGATTTGGAAAACGTCCACAACTCCAACCTTGCGTTCGGTCTCGTATGTTATGGGGGTTTCCGAAAATAGGGGACCCTAATATAGTGCCTTAAATAATAGGATCCTTATTATGAGGATCCCAAAATAAGGTACCCCTATATTCGGAAACTCCCTTACAGTTGGCAGACAGACAGTCCTGTGCCAAGCGACATGCGAACTTCGACATGGGACTCGTGCAGGCCACGCACATTTAGGGTTTAGGGTTTTGGGTTTAGGGTTTAGGGTTTAGGGTTTAGGGTTTAGGGTTGCACAGGTTCACCGGCTGCTGCAACGGTTTCCACGGTTGATTGCTTCAAAGGCTACTTTATGCGGTAAGGTTCATCTGCGCAGCGGTAACGAACCGACATTTGTTCTTCCAAGAATGCGACAAGGTATCTCGTCTCTACTGACTATTGCTAGGCTGCCAGACTGCACCTGCAGAAGCGCCAATCACTTAAGCAATCCCTGAGAATCTGTTAGTTGGGGGTTTCCGAGAATAGGGGACCCTAATATAGTACCTAAATAGTAGGATCCTTATTATAAGGACCCCTAAAGAAGGTACCCCTAATATTCGATAACTCCCCGTTGGTTAGGTGCATCCGACCATGCAGTGGGCGCTGTTTTCCGCAGCAAGAAGATGATTGGGAGCGTTTGCCGCTCGATGCCGCAGACGAAGCCCAGCTGCGGGTAGTTTGTGCTATCCCGCTCCTGCGATCGCAACACGTTGAACAACTTTGCCAATACCAGGGCAAAAGATGAGATCGAATCGCTTATTGGCTCTGCTGCAACTGCACTCATTCATTGGCAACATCACATGCACAGGCTAAACACTTAGAGGACGACAGCAGCCAGTGGGCACATGTAAATGTCTCCCAAGTCTATGAAGAGCATATATCGCTGCCAGTCTTCTTTGGCTGGCGTGAGCATAAAGCTCCTGCTTGGTCGGAGGATTGGGGGGCCAGTGTCAATGAAATCCAAAATCATTGTCAGTGTAGAGCTGTGCTTGTCTTGTCACTGTTTCCTTTGAAGTTCGCTCCTCAAGCGTAAGCTCCACTTTATAGCTCACACTTTTCCTGACCGTCTCAAAAACATTGAACCACCAGCACAGAGCACAGGCTGCAACAATGATGAACAACGTGGATTGGGACCCATGGTGGGGCCCCACGTTGCGGGTCTGTAACGTCTTTATTGGTTGCCAGCTTGGAAACCAAAAATGTGACCTCAGCAGTTCGGCTGGGGAGGGTGATCCTGAAGCTGGCAAAGATGTCCGGGGGATCCCACTTAATAAATCAAAGGGAGTCGTTCCCGGACCAGCACCTGTCAGGCATCTAGGAAAAGACAAACACATCTAGAACAAGGGTGTATGCTGCCCAGGTGTTTTTTGAAGGGAGGGAAGGACTAAAATTAAAAACCTCGCTTCGCGATGTGCCTGCATCTGCACCAGCACCTTTTTCAGTCCTGGTCAACCATGTCAAGTTCGGCTGGGTGGAATTCCCTCAATTCATCGGACATTGACCCTGTTCACCACGCCTTCTTCGCCGTAAGCGTCATAGATTTGACACTTCTGAAGGTCGGACACGACCTGCAGAAGCACAAGTCTTTGATCAGTTATGGGCATTCAACTTTGGAGCGTCATTCAACCGCACAGAATTCCGGCCTCGTATGCTTTGGAGATGTCTTTGAACTGAGCTTCGTCACCACGACGGACAGGGTGATGCTTCATGGCCTCCTGTAAGCCTTCTTCATTGATTGGAGCCTCGTCAGCATTGCGATCGATCCCAAGCAACCCCACCACTGAAGGATTCAGTGACCAAATGTTCATGAGCAGCATGGATCGTAGTTCTACATCTGTGGCGGCGGTCCAGAGTGTCTGTGAAACTCTAAATTGGTGGAATTTGTGAAACTTGTCTTCAGTCTGAGCTCCCTCTTGAGGTCTTGGAACTTATGTCAGATTAGGTCACCGAAGCCATGCTGCTATGTTCAAACAGAAACCTGGGCAACCAGAGGGCAATTGTGGTAAACTAAACACAGTACAAGTCCCTGCAAGCCCTTGCACCGCCATTAGCTCCTAGGTGCAGCTTGGCAGTTAGAACTGGGCAGCCGGAACTGAAGCAAGACATGAACCAAGAGGAACGTATGATGCACGTTTAGTATCCTGTACACAACGCTCTTCAACGGTCTTACAACGATCTTCAAGAGCTGGAACTGTCACCAGCTCCGGGTCAGAGCCATCAAGTCCTTGACATGTGCCCAGAAAGAATGTGGACAACTTCCTCATGCCCCTCCTGGGCTGCCAGATCCAGAGCATTTTCTCCCGTGTCAATGGTCATGTCAGCATCGGCACCTGACTCAACAAGCAACCGGACAATATCTAACTGACCATCCCTGGCGGCAACATGCAATGGTGTTGCACCATTTGCCAAGGCCGCAAAGTCAAGGCGCCTGCCTCAAGCAGCAAGCGGACAAGGTCGAGCTGACCTGTTGCAGCTGCAACAAACAAAGGTGTCACTCCATCTTCCGCGGCCTGATTTGTGGACGCACCACAGTCCAGTAGAGAGCGGACCATGCCAACATCACCTCTTTCCACGGCGATCAACAGTGGAGTGGCACCATTGTGCATGCACTGATCTTTGTTTGCACCAGCCCCCAGCAACCATTGGACGATTTGGAAGTGACCCAACTGAATTGCTATGAGCAATGGCGTTGAACCATCATCCATGTCCTCATCAATGGCCGCCCCGGCTTCAACGAGAACACGCACAATTTCGAAATGTCCTTCTTGGGCTGCCATATGCAATGGTGTTGCACCGTTGTTCAGGGCTGGATTTCTTGGAGCACCTGCTTCAAGCAGTAGGCGGACAATGTCCAGCTGGCCCTCAGCAGCGGCAGTGAACAAGGCTGTTGCGCCATCTTCAGTTGGCTGGTCTTTGGAGCCAAATTCGATCAGCAAGCGAACAATGTTCCAATGGCCTTGCTTGGCTGCAATACATAAGGCCGTGGTGCCATCACTTGCCGCCCGATCTTCCGCAGAAACTTCGAGCAGCAAGCGGACAACATCCAAATGGCCTCCGTGAGCTGCAAGGAATAATGCTGTGGCACCGGTTTTCATGGCATGATCTTTGTCAGCACCGGCATCCAAGAGCAAGCTCACAATCTTGAAGTGCCCCCCTTGAGCTGCAGTGATTAAAGGTGTTGCGCCACTGTCCGCCGCCCGATCTTTTGCAGTTCCCGCCTCCATCAGAAAACGAACAACTTCAAAGTGGCCCGCCTCGGCCGCCAACAACAAGGCTGTTGCACCATTATCCGTGGGCTGCTCTGTGTCAGCTCCAGCATGAACAAGACATTGAACAATGTCCAGATGCCCCCCTTCGGCTGCAACATCACCATCCCCAACCATGATTTCCACACCCCCCCCCCAGGATACATTACCTGCTGGGTAACCCCAAGGAAAATTAATGTATCCAGCCACCCCTGCACCCGGTTATCGTCCTATGGGGGTCGGAGAGGGCCGGGCTTTGGTGTTCGACTTGCACACTCGCTCAATGCAGGCACGACTTGCACACTCGCTGAATGCAGGCACACTCGCTGAATGCAGACACGGCCTGCCTTGTTTTCTCGACTCTCCACTGTGTCACGCTGCCGGAGGCTAGTCGTCGACCTCCTAGGAAGGTCAAAGAAGAAGCCTGATTTTCAGGCTGTCGGCAGCGCTGCCGGAGCTTTGTCGTTGAGCTTTCTTAGGAAAGTCAAAAAAGCCTGAGTGCCCCGAAGCTTGGTGGGCGCTGTTTCCTGGAAGATCCTGTAAATCCGCATGCTGTAATCCTTGGCGTTTGCCGCGACAGATTTTCCATGCAGATCCTTGGTGGAAAGCAAAAGCTCGAAGTACAACGGGCATCGCTGCACTATCTCATCCCAAACTCCAGGGACAGGAAACGACGAGGATCGCATCGCCGTGACCCTGCCCTGGGCGTCCGCCAGCGGCTGTCCAGACGTCTTCTCATACATCTTCTTCATCTCTCGCATGTAGCTTTTGATGGCCAAAGCTCCCTTTGCAGAGGGTCCGAACATGTCTGCCGTGTAGATCATGCCTTCTTCGCGGGCATCCTCCGTGGCCTCCATCTTGAAGTCCAAGCCCTCAGCAGCCTTCAGAGCTTTCACGGCTGCCGATGTTAGCTTGAGCACCAGCTTGTAAGGGTCCGCACCCGCCCTGCACTGAGATGCCGGGATCTGATACAAGATTTGCGGGGCGGAGCAGTCGAGGCTGTGGCACTCCAATGTCATCCGCTTGTGCAGCAGGGTCGTCTTGAAGACTCCTTCTTGAAAGGGCTCCATGACTCGCACGTGCACTCCTCCACAGAAGTCCTGCGGAAGTGCAGCCGGAAACGGCTTGCTGCCAGGGACTTTCTTGTCCCGTCGCATCGACAGGCGGAACACCTCTTCCACAAGGCAAACCATAGGCTCGCCAAGCACATGCTCTCGCACCACGATGAATTGATAGTCACGGGTCCCAGAGTCACCTAGGCTGGGAACTTTTCGCGATGTTTAGGGTTTAGGGTCAAGCATGGAGGGCTTTGGGCTTCAGGATGCTTGAAGACACTACTTTGGAGGAACTAGGAAACAGTCAATCTATGCTGTTGCGAGCCGACTGGCTCAAGATAAAGCTGGGACGATAGACATCCACGACGGAAGCAGCTTCCGGAGCAACCTCCTGGACCTTGTCCGCAACCAGTCCAGCGTAGCTCCTCCAGGCATCAGCTCTGCTTGTCCTCCTCCCGGCGAGGCCCCAAGCACGACGTGCCTGAGCCAGCTGTGCTTGCATATCCTGGAATGCATTGAGGCGCCGAGGATTTCGATCGCCCAGCACGGCATTCTCAGACAAGAAGCCCTCGCTGGTTCGCACCTTTTCCAGAAGTGCCACCATCAGAGGCTGCAGCTTGCGAAGTCTCTCCACGGCTGCCTCGGGCGTGCCGTCCGCAGCGGGCTTGTACGTGTGGAAGCCACCTGCTGTCAGGGAAGTGTCCGAACCTAAGGCCTCAATCATAACCAACTTCCTTGTTTTACCTAACGATGCGAGCAAGGATCATGCAACCAGCATCTGCCACAAGGTCGCAGGCTCTGCCGGTGCCAAAGTCTCTGCAACCACAGCCTCCGTTGTCGTCTCTGTCGCAGCTGCAGCCTGCTCGGGCTTGGGCGGCGACTGCATGTCCTCCAACAAAGACTGCTCGATGACAGCCTCGCGCTCCAACATGCGAATGCCGTGCTGGATGCTGCCGGCCTGAGTAGATGCCACCTTGTCATTCTCGTCCTCCTCCTCGGATGCCTCTTCGGCGAAGGGGTCCACATTGTTATCCGCCATGTCCGGAGTGCACCCTGCGAAGAACATCGCAGAGCCCTCCTCCTCGAACCAGGCTTCCAAAGCGGCGGACACGGCGTCTGGCGAGTCCTGCACGGCCGCGACGGCCCGCAAAGTGGTGGCCGCAGCAAGAGCACGGGTCGCGATCTGGCTCACCTGCGAGGGTTTTGAGATGGGCAACTAGGATAGCTGAGCTTTGTTTGTCTTTGATCTCGGCAGGGCCTCGCCGGCACTCAGGTTCTGGCCGCTCCAGGTAACAGTCTTTGACGGCAGCTGGAGGCCGCGATGCTTCTGAGACCAGTGAAGTCGTTCAGCAGCCAGCACGAACGCCTTGAGCGACGGCACATTGTGTCCAACAGCTCTCTTTACCTGGCCGAACCAGTACTCCACGACCTCGTGAGGTCAGGGGATGCTAACGAGATTTCATGCGGTGAGGCTCAGGACAGGAGGGGCTACAAGGGACGAGTCTTAGATCTTAGAGCGAGAGGCTGACAAGTTTAGTCACCCTACCTGCTCGGTGTTTTTCGTGGGAGCAAAGGCCAAGCTGCCGTCGGAGTTCGGGTATCGGCATACCCACTCGATCATGTTAGCACAGCAAAAGAGGCTGTTTCGCACCGTTGCCCTGGCCAGGAACTGGTTCTGCCAGTTGCTACCACCAGCCTGCCGTGCTGCCATGACTTCGAGCAACAGCCAGAAAAAGCCGGTGAGCCCGTTCTCCAAGAGCTGAGGCGGGGTGAAGACGGCAGAGAGCCAGTTGCCGCTCACGCAAGAGACGAGGTACCTTGGATTCTGTTGCTTACGCATGGCTGTGATCGCGCTTAGAAGGACAAGTACTAGGCCAAGATGCTGAAAGAGTGTCACGGCGACACTGTCCCAGGCATCCATATCTAGGCATCCCGGAGCTAGCGCCCATGCGGCCTCTCTGTCGCTCTGAAGGTCGTGCCCGATGTAAGCGTGCAACGGCATCTGCATCGTCGGGAGCAGCTGAACGCTGCGGGTCATCCAAAGGCCGCAGATGGTGAAGCAGCGTTTGCGGCCCCGAGTGGCCGATACCATGTTTTTTTGGCAGTGTGCCGCATCATTTTGGTTCAAGATTATGTGCCCGTTGAACTCTAATGAGCGGAAGGGGTACATCATGATGGGCAGCTTCCGCGTGTGGTTGCACTCTTTGAAGAACCTTAGGTTCTATGGATGACACAAAGGGGGGTTATGTTGCAGGACGTCGCTAAAACCTTCGTGGATTATCTAGGAATCAGCAGTCGGGAGGCGGAACATCCGCCAAACGCTCCAGCGGAACCAGGCCGAGCATCACCTCGCTGAACACCACCTGCGTCGTGGCGTTGTCATGGCTGCTCGCAAGTGGCGGAATGCCACCGTTACACTCGGCAGCCAGCTCCCACAGTTTGCCGATCTTGCAGAGATTGCTCTGGCTCGTGATGGCCTTGAGGCGTCTCGGCTGGAGAAGGACGCAGTACGGGTGGCGGAAGGTCTCCACCCGCTTCCTGGGATCCGAATACAGATGACTGCATAAAGAAAGAACTCCACTAGACAATCGCACACCTAGGCAAGCTTGATTCTAGGCGATGAGCTGAGAGTCACTAGAACTGCAAAGACACACTGGGCCAGGTTTTCCTTCTTCAAGTCGCTCGCATAGTGATCGGAGCATGGCAGCATGGACATCTCATCCCCGCCACCTACATAGCAGCGCCCGTGGCTGCGACTGTTGTAGATGCCGTAGGCCGGCCACGTCACAGTCTCGTCGAAGGACAAGACCCAGGACCGCGACTGGGCCACACCCAGGATCCCGATCGTCGTCTGCAGGTTGCGGAACAGGGTCGACCTCATGCCTGCTTGCTCCGGCTCTTCGGCGGAGGCACAGAAAAAATCCGGCAAGGCTTCGTCGAACGATGGCGGCTTGTTCAACTCGCGAGGATTCAGACCGAAGAGCTCCATCAACTGACTGGTGCTGCTGATGCTTGCCAAAAAGAAGCCGACGTCCTGGAGCTGGGCGTCCGTGACGCCTTGGACGTGGCTTGTTGTCAGCCGCTTCTGGTTCGCCGACAGCAGCCTGAGTCGCGTTGCTAAGCAACTCATGAGGACTCGGCAGCACTCCATGCTGTCGAGCCTGCCCTGCCGCAACTCTTCGGAGAGCATGCACGTGAACCCGGCCTCGGTCTCTTGCCCGACTAGGAACTCGAGATGTTTTTGCAAGTGCTGACGGTCCAGCTTGTTGATGGCATCTTTGTTGACAGTGGTCGGGAGCCACTGAAACCTGGTTCTGAGGAGGTTCAGCGCCGCAGAGTTCTGAAAGGCTGCCGGTGTCGTCACTGGGGCCTGCTGTCGCACCACTTGGTGCAGCTCCGGCCACGTCATGGTTTCCAGCTGGGCCACCGAGTGGCAACTCAGGACTCGACGATAGTCTGCACTGCCGAGGGCCTGGAGTGCCTCCCTCCTTTCCTTCCGAACCGCAGCATATGTTGCATGCAGAAGACACAGCAAGTCCACTAGGTAAACCCATGAGGCTACTTTGGATGCGAAGGCCTCCTTGTTTGCGAGCTTTCGGCAGTTCACACAAGCATCCTCGCCCGGCTGCAGCACGGCAGGGCTCGTTTGACAGGGCCGGCATCGCACCCAGCAGATGACCTCGGAGTCCACAGTCTCCATGTAGCAGCCATGCGGGAGGGACTGCTGGCCCGACCAGGGAAAGTCCAGGCCCATCCAGACTTGCAGCGAACGGGTGCACGTCTCGATGTGATACTCCTGGCTGGACTCGGATCGTGGGATGATCTTCACACCTCGGCACTGCCTCGGTATCTCATCCGAGTGGGCCCGGGTCCAATGCATGTCGTAGCATTCATGCTGCAGCAGGAAATGGATAGTGGAGTCTCGCTTTGCGTCGACTTCAACCTCGCAGAGGGTGCAATGAAACTTGAGAGCATGGGTGTGGATGTACACGTCGCTCCTCCTATCTTTGACCCAATCCCACAAACGCATCCAGAGAGGAAGCACCGACGTCTTTGATCGCCGTCCTTGAGGGGAAGAGGGCAGTCTGAGTCATGAGCATGCATCCTACAAGCAGAACCAAGCCAAGGCGACCCCTGTGCAGACTAGACATGATACGACAGTTCCCCGAGGGGCCTTTCGGAACAGGGCCCACGCCCTCCTCCCTCTTGAGCACCTCCAGGCGCTCAGCACCGGTGATCTTGCTCCGAGGCTGTTGTGGTTTCAGAGCGGCGGGATCCAGGAGCACCACCTCGCCAGCCGGGACCTCATCGCCCTCGCTGGGCACCACCAGCTGCTGTTGCTGCTGGACCTTGCTGGCATCCAGGGAACGGAAGAAGGTAGAGCAGGACCTGCAACCCAGCGAACCAATGGAGTCCGCTGCCAGCTTGAGCTTGAACTGGTTCCAGTGGCCCTTGACCCCGTGAAAGGAGTGGACCTTGAACCAAGCTGGGAAACCAGTACCATAGGCTGCCAGCATGGCATCAGCTTTCTTCAGCAGGAGCTTCTCCTCCTTGGTGGGTTTCTTGCTCGCCTGAGCACCGCTCAGCTTTGCAGGAGGCTGCCCAACCAAAGCAGTCAGGGGCACCTCTTCATCGGCATCGCCATCGCAAGCCGGCTCGGTCTTCACCTCCATCTTCACGTCCTCCGTCGCTGCCTCCTGAAACTCAGGTGGGTCAATGTCCATGTTGCTGTCAGCAGCCTCCTTCTTCACGAGCGCCTCTGAAGCAGCATGAGTGGTCTCTGAGCCGGCAACACGAGGCACCTTCCTGGGCGGGGTGCCTACAGGGCTCTCCGAGGGAGGCTCAAGGACGATCAGGCTCTCGGGGAAGCAGCTGGACAAAGGCATGCCGAATGTAGGCGCTGCCTCTGGCTTCACAGATAAGCCTGCACCGTCTCCCGGCCGGGATGTCATGCTTCGCACACTTCGCAGAAGTTCTGACGCTGGGGCACGGCAGGCTTGGCACGACGTTGCCGTGCCTTCGAAGACAGAGGCATAGAGCTGGGTCACCTGGTTTGGGCCATACAGGGAGTGCTCGCCATGCCGGCAAAGGTACTCGAGAACTTGTTCAGCATCACGGCACAACGCCGAGCCCGAGCATTCCGTGGCCTGCAGACTCAGGCCGTGGCTGTCAAAGAGAAGCAAGGCACAACCAGAGCTCTGATGACCACAGCCCACGACCACGAAGGACTTGTGGTTGCAGACGAAAAAGTAGGCGGCTGACTGCAGTCGTGTGAGGGACAGCCTGTGGCCGAGTGCCAACTCTGTCGCCTCTTGCAGCTTCACACCGCATGCTATGTGAGAGAACGTCGCATCTGTCAGAAAGGGCCGGAGGCAGTTCCATCGAGGGCTGTCCCGCAAATGCCCGTGCAGCACCTCATGCTGCACTTCCTCGGGCAAAGTGTACATGTCAAGCTCAATGTTCAACTCTGCCTGTTGTCGCTCACGGACGACTGCAAGGTATTCAGACATGAGAGCAGCACCTTCTTTCAGCAGGGACCGCAGCACCGGCGCTTCGTCCCACGGCTGTTCCAGCCAACGACATATGAAGTCTGGATTCGGATGCTTGTACCAGGCAGAGCAGAAGAGCAGACAGTTCACAGTGCAGGATACGCTGGAGTTTGGGCCAATGGAGGGATCGGCCTGGTTGATGTCAAAGCAGGCGTACAGCGGCAGCTCAGCCTGTCACGGATCGGTTCTTTTCTAGAAACTACCGGACACAGTAATGTATCCAGGCACCCCTGCACCCGGTCCAGGGGTCCGAGGACACATGACCGGGTCCGGGAAGCCCCCAGCAAACCCTGCCCCAGGCTAGGAGTCGTTGGTTGCAAAGGTTCTGGATTGTCGGGGTTACGGTTTCTGGGGTGACACACGACATTGCCTGGGAGCCACCGACAGCCTTAATGTATCCAGGCACCCCTGAACCCGGTCCCGGGGTCTGAGGATACATTACCGGGTCCGGGAAGCCCCCAGCAAACCCTGCCCCAAGCTAGGAGTCGTTGGTTGCAAAGGTTCTGGATTGTCGGGGTTACGGTTTCTGGGGTGACACACGACATTGTCTGGGAGCCACCGACAGCCTTAATGTATCCAGGCACCCCTGAACCCGGTCCCGGGGTCTGAGGATACATTACCGGGTCCGGGAAGCCCCCAGCAAACCCTGCCCCAAGCTAGGAGTCGTTGGTGATGGATGTTTTGGATTATGGTATGTTAGGATGGACTACGGTTTGTGGGTGACACACGACATTGCCCGGGAACCACCGGGAGCCGTAATGTATCCAGGCACCCCTGAACCCGGTCCCGGGGTCTGAGGATACATTATCGGGTCCGGGAAGCCCCAGGGAAACTACCGTGTGGCCTGCATGGAAGACCAGTCTTGCTGCCAGCAGTGGTTCACGAGGCTTGCAAAAGGACTTGTGAGCAGAAACAGCTCCACATCATCAGCCACGAGCTTCTGCATCTCCGGCTGCGATAAGTCCCGAAAGCTACCAGGATCCCCATGCGCATGCACGGCACTGAGCTCTGCCATCGTGGCGGTCCACGCAGCACGTTGCTGCTTCCAAGGCAACCTAAGCACATGTCAAATGCTGCTGCACCCGAGTACCATCCAAGAAGGGCAGAATACGCCGAAGCCCTGCTGCTACATCGTGTCTTCCAGACATGCGAAGAAACCCATAGAAGCCAGAGGCAGCAAGCTGGACCTTCGTGTGCGGCATCTGGATGCAGCATCGCACGGCAGGTGGGAGGCCAGCAAGACAGTCCGGCTGCTTGGGCATGTCCTCCATCTTGAACTCCTGCTGTTCCAGCACTAACGGGTGAGCCAGAAGAGTCAGCAGTTAAAGCTGGAAAGAGCAGGTGGAGGGAGTCCTGCTTGTCATCGGCAGGAGGTGTCAGAGGTGCCGGCAACGGCGGCGGTTCAGGCATGGCATCCTCCACCCATTACGCTCACTTTGGAGTCAACGTGATGCACTTGAACCCTGGCCTCTGCTTGGTCGTCGGCCGGCTTCGGCATGAGATCGGGGACCTGAATCGCACACGGGTCCAGGCTGCCAATGTATGTATGTCAAGACAGAGTCAGCAGCCAGAGGGAGCAGTTGCCGAGGCAGCGACCGAGCCAAGAAGATCATGGCCACCCACGGCAATCACAGGCACCTGAAGTCGGATGTGGGCAGGCTGCCAATCCCCAGCTCCCACGACTCAGGCTCTTGCAGGAGGTTCCAGGACAGAGAGCATGGCCTCCGGACACGTGTCATGCTCGGATAGTCTCGGGCTGAAGGTTCCCAAGCAGTGTATGACATGCTGTCCCTGTGAAGACTAGGCGGCCTTTTCAGTCGACTGCTCTTAAAGTCATGACACAGAATGCCTCCGTGATCTACCACGAAAGGAGCCGTGCACGAAAGAGCGGCTCGTGACCGGCACGAACTTACTTCTTTGTCTGTACAGAAGATGCCCTGGGGTTCTTCGGCCCCTTCTCGGCTTCCGGCGTTCGCGGAGCTAGCCTCTTCTTTCCCTTTGGAGTTGGAGTCTTAGGACTTGGGGTCAATGCCATGGCTAAGGCAGACCAGTCAGGTTCGATCGGGCGGCCTGCCACTGCCAAGCTTGGTCTGTCCGGCTTGGGCTCCTTCTCGGCTTCGGGCGTTCGCGGAGCTGGCCTCTTCTTTCCCTGTGGAGTTGGAGTCTTTGGGCTCGGAGTCAATGCCATGGCTAAGGCAGACCAGTCAGGTTCGATCGGTCGGCTCGCCACTGGCCGAGGCAAGCTTGGTGTGTCCGGTGATGGGATACTCGGATGCATGTAGTCTTCGTCATCTCCAAGACTCGGCATCAGCCCTGCCCGCACACCTGGCGAATCCGCGACTGTAGTAGGAGACCATGTCTCCAGCGGGGCACGAACACGGCCGTAAGGAGACTCAGAAGAAGGTGGACTGCAAATCTGCGAGGCCTTCGTTGCTTTCTTTGCAGGACTGACGATGACACTCGGCTTCTGGGCACGATCGTCCATGAGGGCAGCGTCGCAGCCGTCGGGCTTAGCAGGGACACCAAGCTCAGCAATGCGCCGGTCCATCACGACAGTGTTGCAGCAAACAGGCTCAGCAGGGAAGCCGGTGGCAGCTGCGACAGGCACACATGTTATAGCATCTCCACACGCCGACATCTTCTTGGCACTATATGGGGGGGGGTCAAGCAACGGGGGCTTAGGGACAGGACAGGGTCACGGTGAGTCAGACGACACATCGCAACACGGCCGCCGTGCAGCCAACCCTCGCCTTGTTGATGTGCTCAGGCGCCGCCACGAAGTCGGGAGGAGCAGCACCCTGAGCAATGGATGGCAGTATATCCACACAAACACGCAACGATCAGCTTCCCATGGGCTGATCTCAGAACCAAAGTTTCAAGGCTGCAAGGATACCTTAAGGCCAGTACCACCGAAGCAGCCGGACACGAGCTCAAGCTCACACCAGGAACCTAAGGAAGAGCAACAAGCAGAAACCAAAGCCGCAAACCCAGAACCCCCAGAAATTTCAAGGGCCCAGCAGCATCGGAACGATCGGAAAGCGGAGCCTGGCGGGGTACACAAGTAGCTGAGTTGCAGCGAAGGAAGCTGAAGTCCAAGGTCCAGGCAGCGGGTACCACAGAGCCAGCACAGACCTCCGCGTGCGAGTTGAGTCCAGTCAACCCAGTAGAAGGACTCAGCATCCAAGGCCCAAGCCGAGGAGTCCACGGCCCCACGAGTGATGACCTGCAAAGGTTATAGGAACGGCTATGGGGTGCGAGCACGGGGCGAGGCCAGAGGTGCCATTTTGCCAACGCATGTTTTGGGGCCCAACCTTGTCGGTGTTGTCTTCAACCACGGCATCACCGGCCTCAAGGGAGCAACAAGCGCACGGGCACGTAGGAACCGAAGGCCTCTTCCCTACCTTGTCGTCGGGAACCAGACCATCAGCCTGACCGGGAGACAAGCTTCCAAGCGAATGCCAACGAACCCCAGCGCCCCGGTCCTCATGTTCACCAGAAGCATCCTGGTCGCACAACAAGAGCAAAAGGAGTCTGCCAGCCACCACTGTAAACCCAAGAACCCCGGCCTCGGCATCATCCGGTGCATCTGCAGGGACCTAAGGAAGGAAGGGCGAGCAAGTGGGCAGCAAGGAGGCTAGACGAAGGATGCCAAGGTCCAGGCTATCGGCATCGGGGAAGAAGTCGCAACCTGCAGGACAATGGAGCTTAAAGGGGGAGTTCGGGATGGCTTCAGGCAGCGGGAATGGACAAGGGGTTCGGGTGGGGTCGAGGTTCGGGCTTTGGGGTTCCGGGTTTAAGGTTCGGGTTCGAAGTTTGGGTTCGGGTGGGGTCGAGGTTCGGGATTTGGGGTTCCGGGTTTAAGTCGTTCGAAGTTCGGGGACGCCCCAAAGCTAAAGCTCCAAGCCCAAACGCCAAACCCCGAAGCCCAAACCCCACGGAAACCGAAGCGAATGCACGAACAAACCCCAGGCACGACAACCAAACCCCCAAAGAACGGAAACCAACAAACACCCCGAATATTCAGGGGAAGGGGGGGTGCCCTGACTGCAAGCATTTCCACTCACCAAAAACAACGAGCTGGCCGAATGTGCAAGGTATGCATACCATCCCCCATATAATCCTATATACTACCCCGTAGCCCGGCCTATGCCTAGGATATAGGGATGCGACTGATTCCACCCCTAGTGCTATGTAGTGTTAGAACCCAGACACACCCCGCACACTCGGCCTTGAAACTCACCCCTCGTGTGAAACTGGAGTTGCTGCTAGCTTTGCTGCTGGCTTTGCTGCTGTGATGTGCTGCTGCTGTGATGTGCTGTGTGTGGTTGCTGTGTGTGTGTGTGTGCTGCATGTGCTGTGTGTGTGTTTTGACGTGTTGTGCTGCATCGTGCTGTGTTGCTCACTCATCTACATCTACTCAGAGCTTGCCCTTGCCCTCAGCTCAAAACTGCTGCTGCGGCTGGCGGTCACATCATCGTTCTTGCTGTCATCGTTCTTCTTCTTGTCTTCGTCGCCGCTGCTGTCATCGTTCTTCTTCTTGTCATCATCGCCGCTCTCGCTGTTGTTGTCCTTCTTCGAGTCATCATCTTTCTCGCTGTCGCTGTCCATCTTCTTGTCATCACCGTTCCTGCTGTCATCGTCCTTCTTCGAGTCATCATCTTTCTTCCCGTCGTCGCATGTCAAGAAGTGTATGCACAAGCTGGGCTGCGAGACGCCTCCTTCTCGCATGGCCTTCTGTACGGCTTGTTCAAGCGTGTCGAATTTCGGAACCGACAAATCGCAGATGAAATTGTTGTCTTCCATTATGGCGATTTCAAAATGCAACGTCTCGTCCGGCCAAATCTTGTGTGGCCGGAGTCCGTTGGCCCAATCCGGCCTATCATCTTTCTTCCTGTCATCGTCCGGCTTCTTGTCGCCATCTTTCTTCCTCTCATCGTCCTTCATGGCCTTCGTCGCTGGCGCCTTCACGGCCTTCATCGCTGTAGTCCCACCCTTCGTGACCTTCATCGCTTTGATCGCCTTGCCGGCCTTCATGACCTTCATCGCCGGCGAGCTCTTCATGGCCTTCATCGACTTCATAGACCTCATTGCCTTCATCGCTTTCGCCCCTGCAGCCTTCATGGCCTTCATCGCCGGCATACTCTTCATGGCACTCATCGCCTTCATGGACTTCATGGCCTTTATCGCAGCCTTGGGGCCCGCTGCCGGCCTTTTGGCCGCCGGCATAAGACAAGTCTCGGCAACAGTCAAAGGCCCCAAGGCTAGCCAGGCAAGAAAGTTGTGATGCAGGACAACTCCGACAGCAGGAATGTGCAGCGATCAATGCCCATGCACAGCGAAGGACCGGCACTTAGATTGCTATGCTGCATCTCTAGAGGATGGATAAGCCATGTGTTCACTGTTTACAGCAATGCTTCACCTGCTTGGACCATGTCAATGCTTGACCCAGGGCCCCAATGTCTCCAAGGATCCATAGGCCATGTGATTGAACCGATAATCACAATCAAGCAAGCTTTCCCCTGGTTTGCTCCACATGAAACAATCGACTGATCCTGCACAGCACTACCGTCGGCACATGTCAGCAGAGCTTCGGAACCCTAACCACGAAGCCCCGAACTCCTTCACCCCGGGCGCACCTCAGCTTCCGCCGGCTTCTGGCTACCATCTGGATCCTGGCAAATGATTGGTGGGTTGCTTAAATCTGCATTCAGAGAACTCCAGAACCAGGCACACCCAAAGTCGACACAACTAATAAAACCCAAGCCACCGGAGTTCCAACCCCTCGCGGGCCTCTGGAAGTGGATGCTGAGGCCGTCTGCCAGTAGCCTGCATAGAAGCCAGGTCCGTATCACAAGCACTCAGTGGAAAGCGAACGGCTGGCCTCATCATCACCAATGGCTCCAGCTGCATTCCCAGCCCCCTGGCAATCATTGAAGTTTCCGAAGCTTTGCACATGCAGGGTTAGGGGGTTCCTCGAGTTCAGAGGCCACTTCCGAATATCCCAAAGTCCCCAAC